GGGGGTGCTAAGAATCTCCGGCAGATTAGGCGCTACCAACACAAACGGACTCTGGCCCTGGCAACATACAATGTCCGCACACTGAGGACTGACGTGAAGCTATTAGAGCTGGAGGAAGAATTGAGCAAGTTGCAATGGGACATAGTGGGATTATCCGAAATCCGAAGAGAGGGCCAGGATACGGTAATCCTTGAGTCCGGTAACATGCTCTTCTTCCGGGAAGGAGATCAAAAATCTCAAGGTGGTGTTGGGTTTCTCGTTCACAAGTCCCTCGTGAACAACGTGGTGAAGATCGATAGTGTGTCGAGCAGAGTGGCGTACCTTATACTCAGAATTACCGAAAGGTATTCGCTGAAGGTCATACAGGTTTACGCCCCGACCTCTTCACACTCCGACGATGAGGTAGAGGCTATGTATGAGGAGATTTCTGAAGCCATACATACGACTTATACCTACTTCACCGTTGTAATGGGGGACTTTAACGCGAAGCTGGGCGCTTCGAACGGCGATGAGTTGAGGGTGGGTCGATTTGGGTATGGGCGGCGCAACCACCGGGGCCAGAAGCTGGTCGATTTCATGGAGAAGGAGGGACTCTTTGCGATGAACTCCTTCTTCCAGAAGAGACCCTCCAGGAAGTGGACCTGGATGAGCCCTGATGGTTCGACAAAAAATGAGATCGACTTCATCATGACAACCAGAAAGCACATATTCAATGATGTCTCCGTGATCAGCAGGGTGAAAACCGGTAGCGATCACCGAATCGTTAGAGGCACATTGAATATCAATGTTAGGCTCGAAAGGTCACGTCTGATGAAGTCTACGCTCCGTCCAAGTGCTGCTCATATCATGGACCCCGAAGCCTTCCAACTCCAACTACACAATCGCTTTCAGTGTCTAGCTGAATGCGAGTCTGTGGACGAAATAAACAACGGGTTTGTAGAAACAGTCCAAGCTGTGGGGTCTAAGTTCTATAAGGCCCCGCGCCGTATTAAATCTCAAAAGCTCTCAGACGAAACGCTCAAGTTGATGGCGGACCGGCGGGATATGAGACTGCAATCTTCAACCGATATGTCGGAATATGGTCGACTTAACAGACGAATTTCCAAATCGATGCGACGCGATCTGCGCTCCTATAATACTACACGTATTAGGGAGGCAATAGAGCGGAACCAAGGCTCCAAAGTGTTTGCACGAAATTTGTCTGCTGGGTCGAGTCAGATGACGAAGCTGAAGATCGACGACGGCAGGATCGTATCTTCAAAACCGGAGATTCTGATTGAGCTTGAGAGGTTTTATGGACAGTTGTACACATCATTACAACAACCCGTTGAAAGCAATGCTGAGGACACCAGAGCAAAGCTGACCCGACATCACACCGAGGATATCCCAGACATCAGCCTGTACGAGATTAGAATGGCACTCAAACAGCTGAAGAACAATAAGGCACCGGGGGATGACGGAATCACTACTGAACTTTTGCGAGCGGGTGGAAATCCGGTACTCTTAGTCCTCCAGAAATTGTTCAACTCCGTCATTCTCGAGGGTACGACGCCAAAGCGTGGCACAGAAGCGTGGTTGTGCTCTTCTTCAAAAAAGGTGACAAGACCTTGTTGAAGAATTATAGACCAATCTCGCTTCTGAGCCACGTTTATAAGCTGTTTTCGAGGGTCATTACGAATCGTCTCGGAACGCCGGTTTGATGACTTCCAGCCTCCCGAACAAGCCGGTTTCCGAAAAGGCTTTAGCACCATAGACCACATACATACGCTGCGGCAGATTATACAGAAGACCGAGGAGTATAATTTGCCACTTTGCTTAGCGTTTGTGGACTATGAGAAAGCCTTCAATTCAATCGAAACCTGGGCAGTACTGCAGTCCCTCCAATGATGCCAAATCGACTACAGGTACGTCGAAGTGTTGAAGCGTTTGTATAGCAACGCCACAATGTCGATTCGCTACCAGGAAGAGAGCACGAAACCAATCCAATTGCGCAGAGGCGTGAGACAGGGAGATGTCATTTCTCCGAAACTGTTCACGAATGCATTGGAGGACGTCTTCAAGCTCTTGGAATGGGACGAATACGGCATCAACATCAATGGCGAATACATCACTCACCTTCGTTTCGCCGATGATATAGTCATCTTGGCAAGATCGATGGAGCACATCAGTACAATGCTCAGCGACCTGAGTATCGTTTCCAATCAGGTGGGTCTTAAAATGAACATGAACAAGACGAAAATCATGTCGAATGTCCATGTTGCACCCGTACCGGTGGTCATTGGAACTGATACTCTCGAAGTTGTCGATCACTACGTGTACCTTGGACAGACAATCCAGTTAGGTAGATCCAATTTCGACAAAGAGGTCGCTCGAAGAATCCAACTCGGCTGGGCAGAGTTCGGGAAGCTACGCGATATCTTCACGTCCAAATTACCACAGTGCCTAAAGACGAAGGTGTATAACCAGTGTGTGTTGCCAGTGATGACCTATGGCACTGAAACGTGGTCCTTAACTGCTGGCCTCTTAGAGAAGCTCAGAGTCGCTCAGCGAGGCATGGAGAGAGCTATGTTAGGGGTTTCTTTGCGCGATAGGATCCGAAACGTGGATATTCGCCAAAGAACTAGAGTGACCGACATAGCTCGCAAAGCTGAAGTGGCAGTGGGCAGGCCACATCGCTCGACGAACCGATAACCGATGGGGACGAAAGGTTCTCGAGTGGAGACCACGAACCGGAAGACGCAGCGTGGGTCGACCCCCGACTAGATGGACGGACGACATCGTCCGAGTCGCGGGCGGCCGCTGGATGCAGCTGGCGCAATGTCGTCCGTCGTGGAGTTCAAAAGGGGAGGCCTATGTTCAGCAGTGGACGTCTTCCGGCTGATGATGATGATGATGATGATTTATTTCATAGAATTCGGTATAGAATATGAGGTTAAATTATATCAGTAGAAATTCTGTATTGTCGCAATGAGGTATTAGGGAAGGTAGTGTGTTAATTTTTTTGTATTGAAAGAACTTGGGAATAATTATGTTGGATTGATTAGGAGTTCATTGATTGAGGTTTTTATGATAAGTTGGATCGAGTAGGAGTTAATTGTTTGACGTTTTTATAATAAAGTAAGTCGAGTAGGAGATGAGTTAGCTGAATAGTTTCTATATAGCTGAAGTTTTGTGATACGTAAACAAACTCGAGAAGAAGATAATAAAGTTTGTTATAAGATGTTAGGGTTAGAGACAGATAGGAATATATATATGTGTAATGATAATAATGAACATTTTTTTATTTTATTTTATTATATTTGGGAAACAAACAATATTTATAATAAATACAATTGAAACATTTTAAAATAATACATTAATCAGTAAAGTTTCCACTAATAGTTTATACAATATACATGTCACTTTTCACACAAAACAAAAAATAACTAAATTATCGATTGGTTTAATTTTCATTAATCACTAACAAAAAGAATCTATAATGTCAACAATCATGTCAAAGTTACACAATGGTCAAACATGAGGTATAATTGTAAAGGGGTATACAGGAGTTAATAGAGATTAGGTAAAATGGATCTGAGAGATAGGGAATAAGAAATATATATCTACGGTAGTTTTGGTAGTCATTCAAAATTAATTTTTGTATTGTAATGGCAGGTAGAAGAGAAAAGTGTAATTTAGGATAGTCAGCATATAACAACAGATTGAGGGGGTGTGTTGAGGGAGACTGCTTTGTTCCCCAGCTTATTGGCTTAAGGTCTTCTTAATTAATTTGAATTTGAATATTGACATGCGGCAATCTGTTCTGCATATGCGCGTCTATTGTTATTATAGAAAAGTCTCTCTTCATAAAGCGATTGTCGATATTGGTTGTATTTTACAAAGTATATAAGTTAATTTTGGTGCTCTTAAAAGCTACCACCCTTTTTACCATCGGGTATCAGTAACTTGACTTGGGCTTAGCTCGAGTTAACTGAATTCTCTTTAACTTGAATTTGAATAGTCCCGCCCAAAAAGAAATATTTTGTGAAGACTGATAAATAAAACATAACTAGTTTTTTGATAATCAATATAAATACTTACTTCATTAACGTTGCAAATTTATTATAAAATACATGATAAATAAAGTCCTTTTTTAATTCAGTTGTATCTACTTTAATTAATAATAATGGTCCCCATATATATTTATGCTTAATCTGTTCCAATTTTCTAAATATTGTTTTGAAGCTGAATCATTAAATTGGTAAAAGGTTTCATCGATTTGAACTCGAGTTACATAAATGTTAACTCCAGATAACTCAAGTTGTGTTTTTCCGAGTTGGTACATCACTAGACTATGTTGTCGTACAACAAATCTATACCTATAACATAGACAATGACCTATAAGGGGAGTAGGGAACTGTCAACATCAAAAAATGAGCCGTATACATAAGTCTGAATGCAAACTTTATAGAATTAAACTAGCTGTACCCACGACTTCGGCTGGTAGTAGCCTTATTTATTCTTTATTACATAAGCTATCTGCCAGTGCTAGGCCTGTTAAAATCGGTCCAGCCGTTTCACAGATTAGCCGGAATATACAGACAGACCAAAATGTAAAACGGAAATATATGTATCGTGTACAGCTGCATTTAGTAAGAAACGGTTAATGTATATTTGTAAAAATAAAATTGTAAGATTTCATTCAAAGTTACCTGTTTGTTCGTGTGAGTATTGCAAGGTTGCCATAATAAGTAATAGAAAATTTACTAACAAGATTTCCGATCTGTTAAGGGTCGTTGAGCTATCGAAGTAAAGTAAGTAGGTACTATACCAATGTTTTAAGAAATAATTGACTGTTAATTTTCGTCTAGAAAATCATAATCGATATTAAATGATTATTTGAAAAATTGATTAATCAGTTAATGGTAATCGATTCCGGACACCATTAGTTAATTTGTGTGTGTGTGTGTGTTTGTGTGTAGTTTGTGGTGATTGCCTACATGTTGCTTACACTGTTTTTGTGTGAGATTGTATGGTATAAAATAATGTTGCTGCCCATACTTTCAAAAACTAGTTATAATCACCTGTATATGTGAGAAAGTGAACAAATTCTTTTATTTACATATCGAAGAAATAAAATTGGTGTTATCTATTTACCGTTACATTAGACGTTATACCGTGAGAACGTGTTGTTTTCGATATCTACAAAGTTCGTTACGACGATGCACCTGCACTGCGGATAATGCGATCATGCGTTGATTATGACACGGTTCGAAGAGACGGAATCCATTTATTTGTTTTATGAGACTGTGATAAAAGGCAGGTAAAGATTAAGTGAGAAGCCAATGCGATCCCAAAATGAGTCATACGTGGTCGCAAGCATGTCGTTATTGTTTTGTTTTTGCCAAATTCCATTTCGATGACAGTGCCACAGAGTTAGTGTTAAAAGTTAAAAGTTAGTGATTTAGAAGAAAACCTTAAAATTGTAACTGACTTACGTGTTTTGGTGTTTTGAGTTTTGTATTGTTTTGTTTGTGTTATGAATTTTACATCTAATCGGTTAAACTTAATAAAGAAGGAGATAATTTATTATTGACATACCTATGGTAATACAGTTAAACTATACTAATAAGACTTGCACATTAAATATATAATGATTTGAAATAAGAAGACTGATAAACAAGATGGCTCAGAACTCTATGGATTCGGATAGGTTATCTTCAGCAGGCGTTTCAACTCATAGTTCTGGAACTGCTGCAACAGTGGGAGGATCAGTTGTTGGTGTGAGAGTGGGAGATCCCAACCACAAGAGAGATGACGAGGATGACTATAACCTGGGGCCCTTGCCTCCAAACTGGGAGAAAGCTTTTACACCATCTGGAGAAAGATATTTTATTGAGTAAGTACTGAAATATTTATGGAATTATATTATCAAAATAGTAGCATCATTGTATTAGTTGTTTTAATATGGAACAAGACTTATTGCACACTAATTTACTTTTACAAAAATTTTGCATCCACATTTTAAATAACATGAAGGACAACATAACTGCATAATTGAAGCCCATGATTGATCAGTCAAAATAAAGCCCTGTATATGATTTTGACTAAAAGATCTAAGAATCAGATAAATTAATCTGGCATCTTAGTAAAGTATCCTTTTCAGTACAAGGCTTTAGATTTCATAATAAAATAGACTTTTTGTATTTTTTACATGTAGTTTTTACTGTAAAATGACTGTTTTAATAATTTTAGACACTCATATCAAAGTTGTGACTTTTTTATATTAATGAAGTGTGAAGGTAAGCTGTAAGTGAATCTAGATTCCTGTTAATTGATTTAAAATCAAGTGAATCTGCTTAATAAAGTTAAAAATAAAAATAATTATATAAAGAAACATAATATTTCAGTGCTTTATTTTTCATATTATTATAAAAATATGCAACTTCTTTTTATAATACAACTTTTTGTATTACTTTACTTTAATGGTTGCAAGAAAATTTTATAGATAATACAACAGATGAAAATTATTACATTATATTGATAATTGACTTGTCCAAGTTTGGCAGATAGAGTAAATAAAACAATTTGAGTTCTTTCAATTGCTTTCGTTTTTAACTCCAATCAACACTTCTGTGATGAATTCACGTTCCTACAGGTCTTCGGATTTATTACTTGTAGGAACTATGCCTCGTTTTAACCAAAAAATAACACTTTAGATGTTCATCTACGAAGACATTTTATTGAATTGAAAAACAATAACATGTGACATTGTCAATAAAATTTAAATATTATTATTTATTTATTATTAACTGAAATGAGGTTTGATTTATAACATCCTCCCCACCATGGCACTGGTTGACAACAACATGTGCCTTCTTACGCCATACACACATAGCACACTCATAATACAAAGTACAAAATAAAATTAAAGACTATACATACTAAACACAATATCCTAAACACAATACATACCTTATAAAATTTATTAATACTATGTTCAAAACTAAAATTTTAACTTATCTGGTATTCTGACGAGTCGGCCAGAACGCGTTCTAAGTTCACCTTGTACTTCTCGTTGAATACCTATTGCAGTATTGTGTTTGTTGCTCTCACTGCGATTATTCAAATAAGCAGATTCCACACTAGATAACTCTAGTGGGTACAGAGACTGTACAGCTCTTAAACGTTCTCCCGACGATGTCCTAAGACGAGCAACTCTATTGACACCGTCAGAACCTCCCATACATTCTAATACTAAACCCAGTGGCCACTGTATACGCTTCTTGTCACTAACCTCAAGTAGTACAATATCCCCGGGTTTTAAGGAATAATTTTTATTTTTATTACATTTAGTGACTAGTAAGCCTAAATATTCACTGCGAAAACGATGTTTCAAATCAGAACATAGTTTCTTAATGTAGCGCCACCGTGATGTCAAAATATGACCATTTATCAAATCGATATCAAAAGTATTGCTACTATTTGTCTTATAAAATAGTAAAAATGAAGCGGGTGTAAGAGGTTGAACATTTTCTGAATTATCCGCAATATACGTGAGCGGACGCGAATTTACAATCGCCTCTCCCTCACAAATGACGGTTGATAACTCATTAAAAGATAATGCTGCTCTACCTAAAACACGCCTTAAAAGTTCTTTGACTGTTCTTACCATTCGCTCCCAAAATCCTCCCCACCATGGCGCTGCGGGTGGACTAAAGCGCCATAAAATCCTATCAGTTTTAGATTCTACTGTTTCCCAATTTATGTTATCTAAAACATTACTTGCACCTCTAAAGTTTGTTCCATTATCGCTGTATATAACCTTAACATTCCCTCGTCTAGCTAAAAATCTACGAAGAGACATCATAAATTCTTCGGTAGATAACGAAACACAGAGCTCTAAATGAACCGTGCGATACACAGCACAAGTGAATAAGGACAGCCAGCACTTCTCCCCAGATCTCAGATATAATGGCCCTGCAAAATCTATCCCCGTAACTTCAAACGGACCGCTACATTCAACGCGATCTGCAGGTAATGGTGGTATAGGAGCAACACAAGCTTTGGCACTGAACCGTTTGCAAATCATACAACTATTAACAACGCGATTAGCCATTTTCCTGATACCTAATATCCAATAAAGTTCGCGTAATTTAGATATTAAAGTTTGGGAACCTGTATGTGAGAACTTTCTGTGAAAGTGCACTGTTAAACGTTCTACTATTTGACACTTAGGAAGTAAAATAGGCATAATAAAATTTTCAGTATCATTACTCAACATTAGTCGCGTTTTGACACGAAGAACACCATAATTGTCCTTTACTAATTCCAGATTCGGTAACTTATTTGTGTTCATTAAATAATCTATTTGTAACATTATAAATAACCTTTTTTCAGCTTCCAAAATCTCATCATTACGTAAATTCCCTAAACGTTTATTTAGCTTTTTCGAATTAAATATAAACCTAAGACACCAACCTATCATCCTAACTATTTTTAAATAATCGCTAAAATATAAAAACTTATTAGAGAATCTATCTTTTTCCTCTACATTTATTAAAACTGAACTAAACTCTTTTTCTATCTCTGTAACATTTGTTGTTTCTACAGAATGAGGCCAATTTAAACTGTTTTCTTTTAACCAAGTAGGACCTAACCACCATTTACTTTCTAGTAAAACTTGTGGGTTACATCCTCTTGAAGGGAGATCAGCAGGGTTTAAATCCCCCGATATATGATGCCAATTAGCGATATTTGTTCTATCAAGAATCTCTTTTACTCTATTGTGTACGAACACATTAAAACCTACTTTTTTCCTTAACCATGCTAATACTATGCTCGAATCAGTCCAGTAATATTCCTTACAAGGTAACTCTAAGCTATCTCTAACCTCACTCGCCAATCTCGAAGCCATCAATGCCGCAAGTAATTCGATCCTAGGTATAGTTACTGCCTTTGTCGGGGCTACCCTTGCTTTAGCCATTATTAACTGAACAGATACTTCACTCTTAAACTCCGAGCGTAAGAATATACAGCAAGCATGGGCTGATTTGCTACCGTCACAAAATATATGAAGGCTATTATCAGTTAAATTTATATCGTGTGTACTTAACCTTCGTGGAATACAACAACTATGAAATACGTTCATTTGACGTATCCACTCTTGCGTTAGTTTAGTCAATTCATTTGGTAAACTCTCATCTTAATAAATATAATGATAATGATGTTGCAACTATTTTAAGGAAATCGTTTTACGTTGACAACTGTATAGTCAGTGTACAGACTTTGCAAGAGATGCATCATTTTATAGATGAGGCGAAGAGAATTATGCTTGAAGGATTATTTGAGCTTAGGTATTGGGTTACAGGGCCGGAGTTAGTTGACAAAGATATACTGAATGTATCTGTTTTAGGTTTAAATTGGAATCCAACTCAGGATCTGTTGACTTGCAAATTTTCTACTAACAAGAAGTCTAATAATATTACTAAAAGAGTTCTACTATCCCTAGCGCAAAGTGTTTTTGATCCGTTAGGATTTCTTAGCCCAGCAACTATAGTACCTAAATTAATCATTCAAAAATGCTGGATCATGAATATTGATTGGGATCAGAGTTTACCAAATGAATTGACCAAACTAACGCAAGAGTGGATACGTCAAATGAACGTATTTCATAGTTGTTGTATTCCACGAAGGTTAAGTACACACGATATAAATTTAACTGATAATAGCCTTCATATATTTTGTGACGGTAGCAAATCAGCCCATGCTTGCTGTATATTCTTACGCTCGGAGTTTAAGAGTGAAGTATCTGTTCAGTTAATAATGGCTAAAGCAAGGGTAGCCCCGACAAAGGCAGTAACTATACCTAGGATCGAATTACTTGCGGCATTGATGGCTTCGAGATTGGCGAGTGAGGTTAGAGATAGCTTAGAGTTACCTTGTAAGGAATATTACTGGACTGATTCGAGCATAGTATTAGCATGGTTAAGGAAAAAAGTAGGTTTTAATGTGTTCGTACACAATAGAGTAAAAGAGATTCTTGATAGAACAAATATCGCTAATTGGCATCATATATCGGGGGATTTAAACCCTGCTGATCTCCCTTCAAGAGGATGTAACCCACAAGTTTTACTAGAAAGTAAATGGTGGTTAGGTCCTACTTGGTTAAAAGAAAACAGTTTAAATTGGCCTCATTCTGTAGAAACAACAAATGTTACAGAGATAGAAAAAGAGTTTAGTTCAGTTTTAATAAATGTAGAGGAAAAAGATAGATTCTCTAATAAGTTTTTATATTTTAGCGATTATTTAAAAATAGTTAGGATGATAGGTTGGTGTCTTAGGTTTATATTTAATTCGAAAAAGCTAAATAAACGTTTAGGGAATTTACGTAATGATGAGATTTTGGAAGCTGAAAAAAGGTTATTTATAATGTTACAAATAGATTATTTAATGAACACAAATAAGTTACCGAATCTGGAATTAGTAAAGGACAATTATGGTGTTCTTCGTGTCAAAACGCGACTAATGTTGAGTAATGATACTGAAAATTTTATTATGCCTATTTTACTTCCTAAGTGTCAAATAGTAGAACGTTTAACAGTGCACTTTCACAGAAAGTTCTCACATACAGGTTCCCAAACTTTAATATCTAAATTACGCGAACTTTATTGGATATTAGGTATCAGGAAAATGGCTAATCGCGTTGTTAATAGTTGTATGATTTGCAAACGGTTCAGTGCCAAAGCTTGTGTTGCTCCTATACCACCATTACCTGCAGATCGCGTTGAATGTAGCGGTCCGTTTGAAGTTACGGGGATAGATTTTGCAGGGCCATTATATCTGAGATCTGGGGAGAAGTGCTGGCTGTCCTTATTCACTTGTGCTGTGTATCGCACGGTTCATTTAGAGCTCTGTGTTTCGTTATCTACCGAAGAATTTATGATGTCTCTTCGTAGATTTTTAGCTAGACGAGGGAATGTTAAGGTTATATACAGCGATAATGGAACAAACTTTAGAGGTGCAAGTAATGTTTTAGATAACATAAATTGGGAAACAGTAGAATCTAAAACTGATAGGATTTTATGGCGCTTTAGTCCACCCGCAGCGCCATGGTGGGGAGGATTTTGGGAGCGAATGGTAAGAACAGTCAAAGAACTTTTAAGGCGTGTTTTAGGTAGAGCAGCATTATCTTTTAATGAGTTATCAACCGTCATTTGTGAGGGAGAGGCGATTGTAAATTCGCGTCCGCTCACGTTTATTGCGGATAATTCAGAAAATGTTCAACCTCTTACACCCGCTTCATTTTTACTATTTTATAAGACAAATAGTAGCAATACTTTTGATATCGATTTGATAAATGGTCATATTTTGACATCACGGTGGCGCTACATTAAGAAACTATGTTCTGATTTGAAACATCGTTTTCGCAGTGAATATTTAGGCTTACTAGTCACTAAATGTAATAAAAATAAAAATTATTCCTTAAAACCCGGGGATATTGTACTACTTGAGGTTAGTGACAAGAAGCGTATACAGTGGCCACTGGGTTTAGTATTAGAATGTATGGGAGGTTCTGACGGTGTCAATAGAGTTGCTCGTCTTAGGACATCGTCGGGAGAACGTTTAAGAGCTGTACAGTCTCTGTACCCACTAGAGTTATCTAGTGTGGAATCTGCTTATTTGAATAATCGCAGTGAGAGCAACAAACACAATACTG